CATCCATCCATCCATCCATCCATCCATCCATCCATCCATCCATCCATCCATCCATCCATCCATCCATCCATCCATCCATCCATCCAATAGATTGATTTCTGTTCTTTTTCCCAGCTCAGCCAATCTTCCTCATCCCCCATCTTCTTGCCCAGCGATCCGGAATGGGACTGGATCCTAGCCAAGACCTGGGTGCGCAATTCGGACTTCCACATCCACCAGGTGCTCACCCACATACTCCGGACGCACCTGCTGGCGGAAGTGTTCACCATAGCCACCCTTCACCAACTTCCAATGTGCCATCCTCTCTACAAGGTAGGGTTTCATTTTTCAACCCCGGTGGAAATCTCGGGTTTCGGTCCAACTCTTGGTTCATTCAGGTCACCTCCTGGGCCATCCCATAATTTTGAAGGGTTGGTGTGGCTTTGCAGCAGGAGGGTCCCCTTCTCTTCCTTTGACTGGGTGTGGTGGTTTGATGGACATCTTCGTGCACGTCTGAAGTTTAGAATGATCTTCCAGGCTTCTCATGGTGTAGGGCAGGGATGTCCAACCTTAGCCACTTGAAGACTTGTGGACTTCAGTTCCCAGAATTCCCCAGAATTCTGGGAACTGAAGTCCACAAGTGGCCAAAGTTTGATATCCCTAGTGTAGAATGTAAGACTTTGTGAGAAGACACAACTGTTTTGGGGGCAAGATTGGGAAATTTTGGGAGTTGAAGTCCACAAGTCTTCAAGTGGACAAGATTGGATGCCCATTCTGTAGGATATATGTAATTGTGAGAAGATACAACTGTCTTTTGGGCAAGATTGGAAGATTCTGGGAGTTGAAGTCCACAAGTGGCCAGGGATGGACACCCCTAGTGTAGAACATATGACTTTGTGAGAAGATACTACTCTCTTTTGGAGAAGGCTGGGGAATTTTGGGAGTTGAAATCCACAACTCTTCAAGTGGCCACAGTTGGACACGCCTGGTGTAGGATATAAGACTTTGTGAGAAGATACAACTGCGTCTTGGGCAAAGGTGTGGTCCTTTAGAAGGAAGAGGCTCGTTGAGATGACTTTAGGTGATTCTATCTTTTCAGTTGTGTGTTGTGCTGCCAATCCAGCTTGTCATTTGTCTGAAGCGGTGTAGGGTTTCCTGCCTAAGCAGGGGGTTGGACTAGAAGATCTTCAAGGTCCCTTCCAACTCTGTTGTTCTATCCTATACTTGCTGTCTGGTCAACATACTGAGAAGATGTCCACTTTTTTCTTCTTCTGCCTGCCATGGTTGACCTCTTTAAACCTGGAATGTGATGTGTGATGACATATCTTCAGAAGCTTCAAAGAGATGGAGACCCTTGGATGTATGTAGGTAGTCATTTGAACTCAACAAACAGCTCACCTGATGAGGAAGCTACCTTCTGTAGTATCTCCATAGCTGACCTCTGAGGACAATGGCGAATTCAATTCCAATATATTTGGTCCCCAAATTGAGAAAGTTGGGTAGATAGGTGTTTAGGGAAGAGATCCCTTCCAACTGTGTTGTCCTCAAAAGAAGGTCTAGGGGAGTGACATGATAGCAATGTTCCAAAATTTGAGGGGCTGCCCCAAAGAAGAGGGAATCAAGCTATTCTCCAAAGCACCAGAAGGCAGGAGAAGACGCAACGGACGGAAACTCAACAAGGAGAGAAGCAAGCTGGAACTAAGGAGAAACTTCCTAACAGTGAGGACCATTCATGAGTGGAAGGACTTGCCTTCAGAAGTTGTGGGTGCTCCAACTCTGGAGATTTTTTTTAGAGGAGACTGGACAACCCCTTTCTTTGGAATGGGATAGGATCTCCTGCTTGAGCACGGGGCTGGATGAGATGATCTCCAAATTCTCCCTTCCCACTCCAATTCTGTTATTTTGAGATTGTGCCCTGGATGAGAAGATATTGGTGAGGACAATGCTCCTTCTCTTGATCTTTTCTTTCGTAGCTTCTGATCCCTCACACCCGCTTCACTCTTCACATCAACACGTTGGCAAGGACCCTCCTGATTGCCAAAGGAGGAGTCTTCGATAAGGTAAGGTGGTCTTCAGGTCATCAGAGGAGATGGGTTTTGGGGGATGTCCATGGGATGTCCAGCTGACAACTGGGGTCCCTTTTCCCTCTTCTCCTTCTAGGCAACTGGCACGGGGTTTGAGGTCTTCATGGTGTCCATGGGATGTTCATCTGACAATTGGGGGTCCCTGTTGTTGTTGTTGTTGTTGTTGTTGTTGTTGTTGTTGTTGTTNAAGATTATAGGAAGCTTTGTTTAATAAAACAAAGGAGATCATCATAGATTTTAGAAAGAACCAGCATGGTCATACTCCACTCAGTATCAAGGACGTATCCAAGAGGTGGTCCACAGTATTAAGCATCGGGGAGGGGGGCAGATAACTAACAGTCTGAATTGGTCTCTCCACATGTCTCCTTAGTGAAGCATCCAAACCAGCATCTACTTTTCCTTCGTCGGATGAGGAGAGCACCTCTTTGTCCTTCTGTCCTGATCACTTTTTACAGAGACACAATTGAGAGTGGTTTAACAAACAGCATCCCTGTTTGGTTTGGTGGCTGCAGTGTCTCCGATAGAAAGCCCCTACAGAGAGTGGTGAGGACAGCAGAGAAGATTATAGGAAGCTCGCTTCCCATTAATCAGGATGTTGTTTATCAGGGCTAGGTGCTTAAAGCTTGAAGCATCGTTAGGGACCCCACACGCCCACTTCATGGTCTCTTTCTGTTGCCCCCCTCTGGGAGGGGGTTTCGGAGTATTTCTATCAGGACTCCTGATTCTGTAACAGTTTTGTTCCTTATGCCATTCATCTGGTAAACTTGCAAGATTCGTTTCTCTTGTCTTTTTACATGTATACATCTGAACTAGACTGTGTTGTTTCTCCGTGCCATATAATATTGGTGGGTATAAGCATAATTTTGTATTTATTTATTTATTTTGTCATGTTTATGCTTATATTAGAGGTAAAGACCCTCTGATATACGCGCACATCTAATGTCCGATGACACGAAACAGCCTTCTCCGATTCTGATTTATCCTATTGGTAAGCAGGGCAATTGGAGGTGCCATTTTCCAAAATATTTTTCTGGACGAAGGACCATACAGGCAATTCTCGACTTACGACTTTGGGGGCCATTGAGCCCCAAATTTATGTTGCCAAGTGAGACATTTCTGAAGTGAGTTTTGTCCCGTTTTACGACCTTTCTCACCACATTTGTTAAGCAAAGCTACATCCGCTTAATTTAATGAATTGCTCGTTGCTAAATTAGTAACTTGGTCATTAAGTGAATCCAGCTTCCCCCTTTGACTTTGCTTGTCGGAATGTCGCAAAAGGGAAAATCATGTGTCTCCGGGTTCACTGTGTCCATCATAAATATGAGTCAGTGGCCATGCATCTGAAGCTTGATCACATGATCATGGGAATGCTCCAAGGGTCGTAAGGGTGAAAAATGGTCATAAGTCCCTTTTTTCAGTGCCGTTGTAACTCTGAGTGGTCCCTAAGTGAGCTGTTGTAAGCCGAGGACTACCTGTGTCCTTTTCTGTTTGTTGTTTTTAGGGTTGTGTGTGTATGTATGTGTGTTGGCCAAGAATGATCCCTTTCTCATTGTGGTACAGTTGGTTTTTTTTGATGTCACTCACCAAAAACCCTAACAGCTGACACAAGAGGAGAACTATTCCAAAAAAACGTCTTTTTAAGGAAAGAAATGGCAGATTAAGTTCAGAAAAATCTCCTGTGAAATGTTAGGGCAGTTCTACAGAGAGGTGTCAAAAAAACCAACAGCCCAAAATGCTACGATTCTGCCGTCAAAGGCCACATTATCAAAAGGGGCGGGGCAATATGGCCACCATCTTGACTTTTTTGCCCTACTCCTTGGGATCTTCCGGTTCTCCACACGACTAACATTGGCTGCTTTAGGTGGAAAGAGTTTGCTCCGGGAGTGCCGTATTGTCTAGACGTCAACTCGTCTGAGGAGCTGGAGACCAACGTCAAATTCTCCTGCATCAAGGCGGCCATCTTCCATGAAAATTCCAAGAGCAAGTAGGTTTCGCGATGGGACCGGAAGACTCTCGCTCGTTTACGATGCCGAATGAACTTTATTTTTTTTATTTTTTTGATGAAACAAACTTTTTTTAAAAAAACTTTCGTTACATATTTTAACTTCTTTTCTGGGTTTCCTCCCTTTACATCTTCTCTCGTTTCTTTCCATATTTTCCCGCTGAATTTTAATTTCTTCTTTAAACAATATCGTTATTTGCCCCTCCAAGTTAATCAAATTCAACGTATCATTTCCATCCGTTGTTCTGTTTTACTATCGATAACATATATCCCAGTGGTGGGTTCCTCTCCCCGTTGCTACCGGTACGCTGCTCACGGGGCCAGGCGTCCTGTTCGTGCATGCACACTGCGCACGAATGCAAACTCCACTGCCCCTGCGATACCCGGCTGCTTGTCGGAGGTTGTGCAGGCGCCAGACACTGTGCGTGAGTGTGTAATTGGCCGGTTGCTTTAAAAACAGGTATAGAACGCGGGCCAAACCAGCCACCGTTCCGGTACACTGTCAGCTGCTCCCGGCTACTACCGGTCCATCCGTACCGGTTCGTACCTGGACCCCACCACTGATATATCCTCAAATTAAATTTTAGATAGTAAACATTTCACTTAGTCAATTATCCACAATTAATGGTATTAATCGGTTTCACTCACATCATATTCTCTATATTATTTCATTCTATTCTATTAGTATATCCTTTTCCTTCTTTCCTCCTTTCAACCATTTCCTCGTAATCTCTCAGGAACTCCACTTCTTTAATATTCTCTTCCTTCCACCCATTCGCCTAGCTTTTTCTTTTTCTTGTAGTTTCTATATTTTTTCTTCCCAATCTTTTTTCTCCCTTTTAATTCTATTGTTTTAGTAACTTCCCCCAGTTTTCCCCCACAGTCTTTGCCCATTATTCCCACCTTTGCTGTTTAATTTTCCCTTCTTTGAGGCCACTTTTGGTGTGTCATTGTAAATCCCAATTCAATCATCTGTGTATTTTCCTTTTTCAATCTCTTTTCCTTCTGTAGTATCTTCTTGTTCTTCATTAAGTCCCTTTTCTATCTCCTGTTCTCCTCCCCCTTGTTCTAAGTCTTCTCTCTGAATTTCCAGTTTTCCTTTACCATTTAGAGTTTCACGTGCATCTTTTAAACACATCAAGTAGTTCATTGTACGTGAACTACTTAGTTATACATCCAAACTACCGTATTTTTCAGAGTATAAGACGCCCCTTTTCCCCTCAAAAAGAGGCTGAAAATCTGGATATGTCATACACTGAATACAGCATTTTTTGCCTCCTGAAACGGCTGTGAATAGCCTTCAGGGGGCTTTCAGAGAGCTCTGGGGGTTGGGGAAGGCAGAAATGAGCAAAAAGTGGCCCGTTTTTGCTCAATTCTGCCCCCCTCAGCCCCCAGGAGCAATCTATAAGCTTCCTAATGCCCTTTTTTGACAAAGAACAGGCCTGTTTTTGCGGAAAACGGGCCATTTTTTGCTTGTTTTTGCCTCCTNGCCCATTTTGTTTTGCCCGTTTCAAGTTGTTTTTAAGGCCGTTTTAAGACCATTTTTGAGGGCTGTTTCCAGACTGGTTTTGGGGACATTTTCCAGGTGTTTTCCAGTTGTTTCTCCAGTCATTTTCAGGCTATTTTTCCAAAACCAGCATCGGAAACCAGAAGAGAAGCTGGCGATAGTGGGTGTGCCCACAGAGAGGGCTTTGTGTGCCATCTGAGCTTGGTGGTTTTCTTGCCGGCGTTTCATGATCCAGCTAGGTAACCTCATCAGTGCTAGAAGGGAGTGGGGTTTGCAGAGTGGAAGAAGGTGAAGGGGGGGCGGGAGGAGGAGGAAGAGGAGGAGGAAGAGGAGGAGGAGGAAGAGGAGGAAGAGGAGGAGGAGGAAGAGGAGGAGGAGGAGGAAGAGGAGAGGAGGAGAAAGAGGAGGAGGAGGAAGAGGAGGAGGAAGAGGAGAGGAGGAGCAAGCAGAGGAGGAAGAGGAGGAGGAGGAAGAGGAGGAGGAGGAAGAGGAGAGGAGAAGAGGAGGAGCAGGAAGAAGAGGAGGAAGAGGAGAGGAGGAGGAAGCGGAGGAGGAAGAGGTGGAGGAGGAAGAGGAGAGGAGGAGGAAGAGGAAGAGGAGAGGAGGAGGAAGAGGAGGAGGAGGAGGAAGAGGAGAAGAGGAGGAAGAGGAGGAGGAAGAGGAGAGGAGGAGGAAGCGGAGGAGGAGGAGGAAGAGGTGGAGGAGGAAGAGGAGAGGAGGAGGAAGAGGAAGAGGAAAGGAGGAGGAAGCGGAGGAGGAGGAGGAGGAAGAGGAGGAGGAGGAGGAAGGAGACTGTGGGGAGGTCTTGTTGCTCTTTGAGAATGGTGGTTTTCTTGCAGACGTTTCATGACCCAGCTAGGTAACCTCATCAGTGCTAGAAGGGAGTGGGGCTTGCTCTGCACCAAATACTCCACAGTCGTTCTCCTCCTCCTCTTCCTCCTCCTCCTCTTCCTCCTCCTCCTCTTCCTCTTCCTCCTCCTCCTCCTCCNTTCCCACCCACCCACCCCCGTTCCTGGAATTCCCTCTTTCCCCACCCCATTGGGCGGCGCTCCCCTCTTGCTAACTTCCATGGGTTCCCCCTCCCTCCTCCCTAGGTCTCAAGCGGCTGACGGGACGTCAGGATGTGAGCGCCGCATTGACCGAGATGAAGGAGGAGAAACGGCGAATGGACATGGAGCCTAAAGTCTCCATCCTCCAGCTCTTCCGTTCCGGCATCTACCGCCAGCCGCTGCTGATCGCTGTGGTGCTGCAGCTGTCCCAGCAGCTGTCGGGCATCAATGCGGTGAGTGGGGCTGCCGGGAAGAAGGAGGGTGGTGGGACAGGGGACCCCCCAAGGACCACGAAGAACCTTCCCCCTCCTTGTTTAGGTCTTCTATTACTCCACCGACATCTTGACCAAAGCTGGCTTGGAGCAGCCCATATACGCGACTATCGGGACGGGCGTGGTCAACACCGTCTTCACCGTCATTTCGGTAAGCGATCCCTTCCATTTATGCGCATTGCTCGCGCACACGCCTTCCACGCATACACCCGGCCCTAAAAACTTGCCTAAATAGGAGAGCATCGAGCTAACCCACCCGCGATTTCTGCAACCGGTTCGAGCGAAACCGATACGAACCGGCTGAATTTCCCCTCTGGATTTGCGGATCGCGTCAACCTGGGACTCTGCGACCGTCGTAAATACGAGTCCGTCGCCAAGCGTCTGGATTTCGATCCTGTGACCCGGGGGGGGGGATGACCCTGCCACGGTCGTAAGGTCATCACTCCCTTGGAATGGTCACTAAGTGAATAAATAAAAACGAGAAAATGTGGTTCAACTCCTCGATCGCATTTTATTTCGGATAGGGTAGCTTTCTTAGTAGAGGTGGGGTACGAGGTGAACGTAATATAACTTGACTTAGGCAAAGTGAAAAGAAAAAGAGGGGGATTCTGGGAGTTGAAGTCCACACAACTTAAAACGGCTGAGAAATGTTGGTCAAGCTTCAGCCATTCCTTCCTCCCGTTGTCCGCAAAATTTAGCAATTATCAAGTACCGTACGGGAGTTTGCTACCAATAATTTACTGTAGACATTGAAATAGCAGAATAAGAGAGTTGGAAGGGACCTTGGAGGTCTTCTAGTCAAGCCCCCTGCTCAATTTGCTATAAAAATCGAAATTTGCTATCAATAATTTGCTATAATTGAAATAACAGAGCTGGAAGGGACCTTGGAGGTCTTCTAGTCCAACCCCCTGCTCAATCTATCTATATAAAAATGGATGTGTTTGTGTGTGTGTGTTCCAACATAACTCTGGAACGCCTCAAGCAATTTCAACCAAACTTGGTACACAGATGACTTACTCACTGGAAACAAATACTGTGGAGGGTAAGACCCCCCTCTCAGTGTGCAGAGGTGGGCCGCTCCCGATTTGGCCGAACCGGTAGTGGTGATTTGGCTCG